TTATGGTTTCATGTTAGGTCATAAGTTCCTACACGTCGTTGTAAATGTTACAAATAAGAACAAATAATACAGTTTAATCTTTATAGTATTGTTTTATGAATAGAGATTGTCTATGGCCGACTTGATTAACTGATTTTAAACTTTTTTTTTTAAGTTAAAGATTATAAAATGAATTTATTCTTTGTTATTAACCATTCTACTTCAAATTTCGTCTGTTACATTGTACAGATTTTTCTTGATTTGTATTAATTCTTCTAGTCCTTCTTCTGGCTAAGATCAACCTTTGTCCCTCTTTCCAAAAACGCACATGCTAAGCAGTGCAGTGATCATCGCACGATCAGTCTGATGAGCCATACCTTAAAAATATTCCTCAAAATAATTCACAATAGAATTTACAGAAAATTGGAAGAAGATATCAGAGAAACTCAGTTTGGATTCCGGGAGGGATATGGAACTCACGAAGCATTATTTACCTTTAACATCTTGACACAAGTTTCATTGATTACAACAAGGCGTTTGATAACGTCAAGCATGACCAATTTTTAGAGATCTTGAAAGCTAAACAGTTAGATACTCCTGATATAAGAATAATATCTACTCTGTATTATAATCAGAAGGCAGTTGCACGCATAGAAAATAGCACAACGAATGAAATTCAAATTAAAAAAGGAGTTAGACTAGACAAGGATGTGTGCTGTCACCAATGCTATTTAATTTCTATGCGAAAGAAATTATGAAGAAAGCATCAAACGAAGAAGAGATTGGAATAAAAGTTAACGGCCAATCAATTAATAATATTAGATACGCAGATGATACGGTTTTAATAGCGGAGACAGTAGAAGAACTGCAAACCATTTTAAACAAGGTGGTCACAGCTAGTGAAGAGAAAGGGTTAACAATGAATGTCAAGAAAAAGAAATTCCTGATTATTTCATAAAAACAAAGATTGAATGCAAACCTGTACATTCACAATAACGAAATAGAACAGGTATACAAATATAAATACTTGGGAACAAGTGTTAATGACAACAATGACATTACAGAAGAAATAAAAACTAGAATTGGAAAGGCTCGAGCTGCTTTTGTTAAGAGCGTAGGCACAAAATTTCGGGCCAATGCTTTTTAAATGCATTCACTTTTTTTTTAATCCTGAGAAAACTAACAAATATTTTTGAAAAATTTAAACGCAGAATGAAAGATTACATTATTATCGAGAGCCGAAAGTCCCTTAGAATAAACAAAAAGTTTTTTTGAATGAGATATTTGAAATTAAAAATCACACTAAATTTTCTCTTTTTTTTTCACCCTTGTAACTTATTAAAATACACATTATAGAAGTTTTCAGGGACTTTCGGCCTTCGGTAATAATGTATTTTTTCATTCTGCGTTTAAATTTTTCAAAAATATTTATTAGTTTTCTCAGAATTAAAAAAAAATAAATGCATTTAAAAAGCATTGGTCCGAAATTTTGCGCCTACGCTTTTTCTGAGAAGTCATGACATTAACCTAAACTTTTTCGATACTGCTGTACGGAGTAGAGACGGACTTTAAACAAAAGCAATATCGATAAACTAGAGGCCTTCGAAATGTGGATATATAAAAGAATTTTGAAAATACCTTGGAAAGACAAAATAACAAACAATGTAGTTCTTCGAAAAATGAACAAAGAACGGGAGCTGTTGATCACTATCAAGAGAAAAAAGCTGGAATGTCTTGGTCATGTGATGAGAGGGAAAAAGTACCGATTGCTCCAGTTAATTATCCAAGGAAAGATTCAGGGCAAACGAAGCGTGGGAAGACGACGTATTGGCTGCGCAATTTAAGAGACTGGTTCCAGTGCACCTCTAACCAATTATTTAAAGCAACAGCTTCAAAGATACGAATAGCAATGATGATTGCCAAACTCCGTAGCGTAAAGGGCACTTGAAGAAGAAGTTCTTCTTTAATATTGCCGAAAATCATTTTTTAGCCTAGTTTCTCTGTATCTTACCTCATCTTTGTGTTTTCTGCTACTTTATTTAAAATACATATAGTTGGTGGCAAAGATATTGTAGGACTGCAATATCTCAGACCTGTATTCTCTTTTTTATTTACATTGCAGGTACTTCATGTGTAATTCAATTTTCTGATTTTTTTAACAATTTTTCGTCAATTTTAGCTCAAGTGCTTAGTTCTCTTTCTTTATTGAGCCTTTGATTGATTGAAGAACTCCAATTAATTCCGTATTTTTGGACAGTAGGGAAATGACGTGTACCTCTGGACCTTTGTACCTTTGAGCAACAGTGTGTGAAAAACAAGTTTGTTACTGTGTGTTTTTAAAGTTTTGTCGAATAATGCCTCTATACCTAGTGTGACGAAAAATACAATATATAAATCCACGTTACACAATTATATGAAAAGCAACATAATTTGGATACTAGTACTTTCATAAAGTATTTATGTTGCAGAAAAGAGGCAACTAATAATCTAAAAAAAAACTGCCTACCTTCATTTGGGACGTACTAAAATCCGAACCAGAAAATTTTAACCAAGACTGTGGCATTTAATTATGGCACAATCTTAGTTAAAAATATACTAAACTCGTGGCAAGAAAAGAAAATTGCAGGCTGAGAATGGTTAGTTTAATATAGGAGGCCGGCATTATCTCTAAGGAAACCGGAGGCACTAGTTTTAATAAATCATACAGTGTTGAGCATTTTTTCAACAATTACACTGATGGTATAAGAACTTATCAATTTAGCCATGAACATATGTACAACTTAGATAAAATTTCAAATTTTACAGTACATAAACCAACTAAAATATTAGCTCCTAAGACCATTAAACAACTTGGGAGTTTAACCTCCTCAGAAAAAGGAATTACTGTTACTTACAATGATAGCTTGCATAAATGCAGCAGGTCAAACTATCCCACCATTATTTGTATTTCCTTGTGTGCACTATAAAGACCACATGACAGATCTCCATCCGGTTGCAGCAAATCCTTCAGGATGGCCGATAACAAAGATTTTTTTGCAATTTTTGGAACGTATAATATTTTATACTATAATGTATCCAGGAAAAGCTGATACTGATTATCATGTCACGAGACAAAAATTCCGGCGAAGTTTTATTAAAAATGTATCCGCATTGCAGGAAAACCTTATGTACAAGCATTCACACCAAAAATATTGTAAAAAGTTTTGAGGTTAAAAGTTTTGTCGACAGTTAACACCAATATTTTTACAGAAGAAGAATATCTGCAATGATCGACCAAAAACAACAATAGCTGGTAAATCTACTTCCTTTAGCGCTTTTGATGACCTTACTTACAACTCTTTTGACTTTAATCTCAGCTGAACATTTATATACTCCGTCTACTTCCGTTTCTATACCTGTTCTGTCCACTTTTTTTCAAGCTGATGATTCAATTTTAGAGTTTTTAGCTGCACTACAGAGTGAATATACATCACCTGTAACCGATCTGCCTCTAAATATATCTGTAGAGTCTATAGCTGTTTCCAAAGCGCCAGCTAGAAAAGATTTACAAGGCAGAGGAATGCGTAAGAAAGAAAAAAGTAGAATTTTATCCAGTACACCAGAGAAACTTGCTATTATACTGTAATTGCTAAATAGGAAGAAAAAAAAATAAAGTCCGAATTCTTCACTTTTTCGGCTTAGTCGTTCAATGATGGTAAGCATTTCGACTTTATTCGCTGCTAGTAAAAGTGTGTCATCTGCGTATCGTAGGTTGCTGAATTTTTTGCCTCCAATCGTGATTCATCCATTCCATTCCTCCAGTACCTTTCTCATTATATATAATTCAGAATAAATGCTGTATAATAACGCCAGGGTTGCGTGCTGTCACCACTACTTTTCAATGTCTACAGTGAAGCGGTATTTATAGAAGCGCTCTCAGACTCAATAGAAGGTATATCTATTATTATAGAAGTTTTGAATAACTTACGTTTTGCAGATGATACAGTAATAATTACGGATAACAACAATGATTTACAGAACCTAATGCAACGCCTTAATGAACGCTGTCATGAGTACAGACTGAAGATAAATAGTTTCTTTGTTGTCGGGATATAAGGTTAGAACTACGCCTGAGAATGCTTCGATGTTACGTGTTCTCTACTCTTCTTTATGGTCTGGAAGCTTGGACACTAAAACAAGTTCATCTGAATAAGCTGGACTCCTTTGAATTTTGGTGTTACAGAAGAATCCTACGAATATCATGGATTCAAAGAATGTCAAACATGGAAGTAACTAGAAGGATAGGAAATGAGGCGGAAATAATATTAAGTATTAAAAGACGAAAACTTGAGTACTTGGGACATGTGATGAGAGGGCAAAAATACGCATTATTACAACTTATTATGCAGGGCAAAATCCGAGAAAAGCGAAATGTGGGAAGACGAAGAATATCCTGGCTTAAGAACTTAAGGGAATGGATTGAATGCAGTAGTGCAGAACTTTTTAGAGCGGCAGTCAACAGAGTCCGCATAGCCATGATGATTTCCAACCTTCGATAGAAGATGGAACTTAAAGAAGAAGAAGAATAATGCTGGTAGTATGCAGCCCTGTCTAGTTCTCTTCTTTGTTTTAAACGCATCTGATTTCGTGTATTTTCACTTTGGCTGAGTTTTTATTAAAAAAATTTCCTATTAGGTTAACCGGGTCGTTAGGTACTCCCATATTTTCCATTGTACTCTAGAGAGCATTCCATTTTACTGTATCGAAAGTCTTTGTGCAATTTACGAAACAGAGCAGCATTGGTATGTTATGTTATCTTGCTTTTTGTATTATCAGTTTGGTGTTCAGTATCTGCTCCAGAAGTCCTTTTCCTGATACAAATCCGCATTGTTCTTCGGCTATCTCTGGGAGTAGAACGTTCTTTAGCCGTTCATAGATTATATGTAGCAGGATTTTGCTACAATTGCTTACAACTCTGGATGACGTCAGTTTGGTGCGTAAACAATTCAAAAATAACGGTAGACAATTTAAAACGATTTAAATTCTATTCAATTATATATTGTTCTCATTGGCGTCGAATATAAAAAATATAAACATATAAATATTTACAACAAATTTTTATGTTACCATTCATTTTTCATCTTCTAGTTCATCTTCATACCCATCTGCTAAAGGATTCGTTCTTGGATTGTGAAACAACGTCTTGTCTCCATCCCCCCACGGGAATCGCTTATCCCTCTTCCTTAAATACTCATATTTGACGAAAGGTGGTCTGTCACACTCGTCTTTGTGCTGTTTTTGATATACAGCATAAGCTGTACCCAAGCTTATCAGTGGAAGTCCAACTAATAGAAAAAGGGTCTTGTAGATTTTATAACCACCAACGTGAGAGGGTGGAGGTATTCCTTGGCCTCCAGTGTGACACACGTTACTGAGTCTTCTGCCAAGAAGTTTTGGAGAAAACTGCAGTTTATTTAATAACCATAAATTTCTAAAAATTGACATTTTGATTAATTACAGATATATAAAAATATATGTCTAATTTTGTTTCCTTGGCAATTACATACGATCATTTATTTGATTGTTTTTATAATTTGTATATTCTTTCACAGCAAAATTTAGTGAACTATATTTTTAATTTTACATGAAAAATGCTATATTTACAAAATGCTCACATCTTCAATTTTAAAACAATCTATCCATTTCTAGGTAGATTTACGTTAAAATAATGAATATAATGTTCTCTCTTTCAATATTTGGTCTAGATTTTCTCATATTTTTCTCCCTTGGGTATTATGAACATTAATCCCTTTCATAAAATATTTGAACCTAATTATTTAAATAATAACGTTTTAGATCATTTGTTTTTCCTATCAAGCTTTAAGCATTTCCGTTTGAGACTTTGTTTTCAGTGTTTCACTCGTTTTCTAATTCTCTTTTATTATTTTCTAATAAGAACTTCTTTTAGCTCGGACTCCACTTATGAAGCTTGCCTATAACCATTGGTAATTCATCTTCGGCTTTTTCTTAAAAATGTTTATGTATTTAAACCGGTCCAATCGCCAATATTTTTCAACAAGGATATTTGTCGTCTACCAGGATCCTGTTTTCCTTCGATTTTACCCATCATAATAAGTATGTGCCCCAAATATGCTCCCTTTGTCCTTTGAATGAGGATTAAAGGTTCCAATATCCTAAAGAAGAGCAGAGTGGATATAACATTTTACCATACGATGTGGCATGTAAAGTTTCTGAAAGTTTTCTGAAAAATTTCTGAGTAACCAAAAACTCAATCTAGTTTTTACTCAGAATTTTTTTCATCTTTAAAAATGTTGTTCTTTATTGCTCTATCGATCTTGATTTCTTCTGTACAGTGTTCAAGTGTGTGTGTAAATAACTATTTAGAGTAGGTATATATTAAATGGTAACGGTGGAAGTACATAGCCTTGTCTCACTTCTCTGCCTATCTGATGCGCATCCGTGCTTTTTTTCATTTGGTTAAAATTATTTTGATTGAGGTCTTTTCGCTTTGGAGATTCTATAAGAATGTTATGCTTAACTTTGTTGAAAGCTTTCTCATTTTTTGAGCTCGACATTTTTAAGCAAGAGTGTTGAAACTATATAGAGCTTCTCTTGTTCCGAAGCCATTTTGAAAGCTGTAGTCATGGGGTTCTTGGTTTTTAGTAGTGAAACAAAACGCGATAGTAACCATTCTGTTGGTATTTCACCAGATTTAAATATGTTTTTAAAGAGCATAATTATTGCGCTTAAATTGTTCTTATGTATGAGTTTAATCAGCTCGATGTAAACTTTATTTGGCTTAGGCGCTCTGCCACAGTTGATTCTAGCGTATTGGACTTCAGATTTTAATATTATTGGGACTTCCTCGCTATCTATTTGTGTTGTTTCCGCCCTTGAATCCATGATAAGGTCTTCAATATATTTAGTCTATATTTTTTTATTTCATTTGGGTTACTTATAGGTTTATTGCTCTTCTAACTTTCTAATGTAAGTTGCCATGATCTTCTTTTTTGGAATTTATCCATCTAAAAGCATTTTTCCATCATTCACTTTTTCTTGGCATTTTTTATTTTCTTTTTTAATAATTTTTGTTTTGTTTGTATATTATTATATTTATATTTTATATATTTACTTCTTTGTTCCATGATTTCCAGTATTTCTTAAGTTATCCACTGTTTGCCGCTTTCATTTTTCTTTTGTAGAGTTTCGTTTTGTGTCTTTATAATAAAATCTCTGATTTTACTCCACATAACGTTCACATTCTCAGTGTATTTCGTTTATCCTGAGCAAGTGAGTATTAACCTTGGAATTTTTGGATTTTTGATACAGGAGGACGATAGTGGTCTAATGGGACTTTCTTCTAGGTAAGTCTTAAGGCTTATAATGTAATTTAATAGGGAACGCAATAATTACTGACTGCTATCCTGTATTCACATGTAATTGATCAGTCTGTATTATCACTAGTTTTTACTACATCATATAGATCTCATACTCATCGCAAACTTACCTTTATTAGTAGAACTACAAAACTTCTAGAACTGCTTTATCAAACATTTTTTTAAGACCACATGAGCTTTTGTTTCTTTGACATTTTACATGTTTACATGAGCCTCGTCAATGTAAATTGAAAAAGCATATCTGATTCTTCGTTTTACTAACCTTTCCAATGTACGTCTTATATGGAATTTACAGTTTAAATCCCATAACTGATGAATACTTTTTGTCAATTCTTAGAACATGCATTAACTGGATATTTCTTCAGTGGTACCAAAGAAGTTGTACACCATAGTTTTCAGCAGACTAAAGGATTTAATTGACCATGATAAATGCTTCTTATGAATACAATAATTTTGGTTAACGATCAATTGGCAAATGTTTACTCGGACCAGTTATTTTGAAAAGCACTTACTTAAAGACGCAGCCATATGGAATAAAAATCAACGGGATCAATGTAATTAGATACTTCAAGGCTTCCAAATTCTACTTGATCATATTTAAGAAGTAGGCGAGGAATTGGACAATGAAATAAACTCAAAAATCAGATTTTTAGTCTATAGTCGTAACACACATCCAAATGCAGAGCTTTAATTAGAGTCCAAGTTGAACAAGTTCACAAAATGACATATTTGTCAACTTTTGCAAATGCTCAATTAGTACTGGTCCTCCACAATTGAACATTGCTGCTGTTACTTCATTCTTTCCTGTTGGGCTGATATTTTTCTTTAGTTTTTTCTTATTTTTTGTATTTCTTTTTTATTAGACGGTTTTTCCTCTATTCATTATTGATCTATTTTCCTTCAGTTCTTCTTCTTCTTCATATTGTGTTGTGGGTATGACATATATAAGCTCTTCAAAGTATTCATTTCACCTGCTCCGCTACAGAGTATACCAGGGTTATCGCTGACCACAACATAGCAGCAGGAGATCCCCAAATTGTCCCAGAATTTTTTTAATAATATACAAAAAATAGTATTCAATTTTACAGAAGAATTAGAAGAATTACTAGGTATTTAGGATACTAATTGTTTGGGAGTATTTTGTTTTGTTTTAGAAAATGGTGCTTCATTTTCTTTGTGTCATTTTATTCATGTTGAAAGTAGCATACTCCGGTTTTCTAGCATACAGTCTCGATCTTTTAAAATATTTCTCCATAGTGTTAAAATTTGACGTTAAAGTTTCTCCAGTGATTTATGTGAATTTCTGTTTAGTTATATGTTATATCGCCTATTTGGAAGATTCAAGATATATTTGTTGAAAAAAAAGTGGTGCAAGGACTGGATCCTGTGGGAGTCTATTGTTTGGTTTTCTTTCTTTAATTATTTTGTCACCCATAATAACTTAGAACCATCAATTGATGATTCCACAGCATTTGGTTGATTAATTGAGCAGCTGTTGCCAGCAATTGTTTGTAAAAACTTGTATTTGATTTTATTTATAAGATAAAACGAATAGATGCATGTTCAGATAAAGCTGACATGAATTTCTTGATAAAAGCATCAGGAGAAGCTTAAATGACGTTCACTTGACATATACTTTGAATCAGGTATAACATTTTAGCCAGATATTTGATGTAAAGATCATTAATTTTAATTAAAATATATTAATTATACCAATTACCAGTCTAACACAAGCATAATTTTTGGACTAATTTTTCCAGTAGATATTTTTTCCGTGCAATCTCCAATCAGCTGTTTACATGCGGTGAAATTTTAACTAAAATAAAATACAAAAATCCATTCCCATAATTATGGCGGGCACGAAGTGTTTGTGTGACATGAAACATAAAATTTGTCATATTCCCCACTAAATAATTCAGTTTCGTCCATGCTATCGAACCGACGAGCCATAATTCATAAAAGTATTGGGGAGATAGTGTTCGTTTTCTGCTCGAATAAATATAAAATTGAAACAAATGCGTAAAATGGGCGGATCCGAATATATCATGCGTCTCTCTGGGGTACTAATTATTAAATAATTATGAGGGGACAGCGGTAGAGATGGTCAGTGCTGTAGTAACGTGAACTAACGTTATTGGCAACGGGTGTCAGAACGGACATCGGCGTCGAATATCAAAATAAGCTGTAAAACTTAACCGATTATATACATAATCATATCAAAAATTAGCTATGAAAAATTAGGACAAATAAAAAAAAAATAGATATTTTGGATAATAAAAAACAGTAAACCAGATTCACCTAAAAATATTGCAAGTTATACATGCCTCTAATTACAAAACATAAAGAATTAGTCCAATCCATGAAGGTAAAATAAAGCTATGTATAATTTTCTGAGCCTTTACCGATTTGCACGAAATATTTGAGTGTAGATTCTACTTACTCTTTACTTCAAAATTGAAGAATACCTTTTATTCAAATAAATTATAAACTACATATAGATATACATAGGGACTAACACATTAAAAGCAAAATCTACAATTTCGAACAATTTTGAGTATATCTAATAGTTTTAGATTTCGCACTCTCGTTTAAACTCATTTTTTTTTTTTCAAAACTAAGCATTTTAAACTAACCAAAATTCTAGAGCATACTATAAATACATTATTAAAGTGAATTGTAAAGTGGTAATAATTATTTTTAATTAGGACGGCCATTAGAAGGTGAATTTCACGTTTTTGCCGCTGAAAAAATACTCTCCAACCATATTTTTACCAGAACTCCCTTAGGAGTCGTGTTGGTAACATTTATAAAAATATTTAAATAATGATTTGTCAAGCACTACAATACAGTTTATAAGTTTTTCACAAAAAATGCATTGATTTGCTCGTATCTCACGTCGAAACTTTCAATTTTGGCGTTTGACGAAGAAGAACTAACTTTCAATAAGCTATTTCTCTGATTGTATTGGGACTACATACTACAGACACCATAAATCCATCATATTTTGTTTTGTTTTTTGTATAAGCTACATATTTTATAGGAATAATTTATATGATAAAATATATATTTTTTAAGTAATTTGCAAAAAAAGCCGTTTTAATAAGTGATTTCTTTTT